TAGGGAAAGCTTTGAATTTACTTATATTCTCATAATTAGGGGAACGCATTTAGCAACTGCAAGAATGAGTATAGCCTGGAAAAGGAACAGTTCTTCAAGTTAGGATTGAAGGATTTAAATGTAATAAATACTTTTCAATCTGTTTTAATAACTGCTGAATTCAGATCACTAAGGTTTTTTAAGAAAATTGAATGTTGCTTTTAGTTGTACTATAAATTCTTTCAGCTCAGAAGAATGCTAAACTAAATTAAATGTAGACTGTATGTATGGATATCGCATAGTTTTGTTTCATTTTATGTTGTATGTTATTAATAGCCACTGTCTTTACCATAAACTAGCATCTCTTTTTGGTTTTTTAAAGCACTTTTTATTTATGAGTTCCTTTTTTGGGCTGTTAGCTCTTGGTGTTTTGCCAGAGCAGTAACTGTTACTAAATCACACAATATTTTGTATATAGTTCTAAATTTCATCTCCCAGTTTCTATTACTTTTCAGTTTTTGGAGGGATAGTTTGCTAGCTGTTCTGTTTCCCGTTTGCCTAGCCATTTCCCTGCTCTCAGCAGTAGACCTTCCTATGCAAATTATAGCCATCCACAACCGCTAGCCACATTTTTGCTCTGTTGTTCTGGGGTTTTTTGTTTTGTTTTGGTTTTGTTTTGGGGTTTTCCGCCCCATGGGAGCATGGTATTAGTTAACAAAGCAGTCATGCAGGTCTCTCTATAGATTATTATTTATGTAGATGGCATCTACCATTGCCCTCCTTCCAGTCTGAAAATTAAACATTTTATCACTATGATATGAATTGTTTTCATGGTTATGTCCTTGGAAGTTTACAAGAAAACCACCTATTTTATGCTATCGATCTTCTTCTGTGGGCATGAAATTAATTCAGTAATTAAAACAAAAAAAAAAGCTTACTGGATCAACGTATTTGTCAAGTATTGTGTATGAACATCTGGTTGGTCTTGTTGGTGCAACTCACTTGATTTACCTGGGGACTCTTTCAACAGAGACCAGGAGCTCTACTGAGTTGAAGTATATTTAAATTAAAGGTAGAAGGTCATTTAACCCTTTGCTAAGATAACTTTAAGCCTAGGCAACATGTCTTGACGAACTGCTCTATTTTTGCACCAGGAACAGCGGCTAAGTCTTTCAGCATTGTCAAATGCACGTGGCTGCAAACTTTATATGAGCGCTCACACAGCAAAATCGTAATTTTATTCTTCTTAGGCACTTCTTACTATTTCTTTGGAAAGAAATAATGACTTGTGTGCTTAAGGACAACAAAAGCTGTTTTTTATTCTTAAGAAGGTATGTGGAGTTTGGTATTAGCATGTTCATCACTTGGAGAATCCCTTTTGCAATTTGTTTGATGTCTATAAGATAAACTACAAAAATGGAAAGACTGCTGGTTTACTTAATTTCAGTTTTAAATCATGCTTTATCAAGAGGTTTTGGCATTTGCTTTTTCAATTTTGTTTTTATGAGGAGCATACAGAACTATTGTTTGTTGTTAAAAATTCAAGTGTTTGAACATGTTCATCACTGTAATTTTTTTTAACTTTTTTAATACAAGTTTTAATCTATTTCTTAAAAGAAAAGTATTTGCAGGTAGACAGTAGTGACTCCATCTAAACCATTTTTGTTCAGGATAAAAGGAGATAGGGAATTAAAAAAAATTACAGTTGATCCTGGATCTTACTTTAAATTATGACTACATAACTAATATTTATTGGAGTAAGACCAGTTCCTGAAGGACATCTTTGAAAGTTTGAATGTATTAAACAGTAAATACCTGTATAAAGTATGAAGTAAAAATAGAAATAATATTTTGTGATTTAGATAGAAGCAAAGGAAGTATATGCTCAGAGACAAAGTCTACTGAAAGATATTGAAGTCATAAGGACCAGAGAGGCAGAACTGAAGCAAAGAATTGAGGCATTTGAAGTGTAAGTTGCTGAAAGGCATATGTAATGCTAAATGATGCTATTGTCCTTTTTCTGGAAAGCATGCTTCACGATGTTTCTACTTCTGTGACATTGAAATAGATTATATATCCCAGAAGTTATGTTTTGCATTTTGAGCAGTATTGTATACTGTGTCTATTAGCAGGGATAACCCATAAAAAAACATGGTTTGGGGTTTTTTTCTATGCCACCTCATCCAACCAAAACAGTGCAGCATCACATTGGAGGCAATGAACCAGATGTTTGAAGTGCTTAAATTAAAAAAAAACACCACCAACAACAAAGCCAAGACAGTATGTAACCCTAACATTCATGTAGCATATATATGATATTTTGCTTTCTAAAGAAGCAAAATACCCTTCATGTTTTTTTGTTTGTTTGATTGGTTGTTTTGGTTTTTTTGGGTTTTTTTTCCCACTTGTCCTTAGTACGATCATTTTGCTTTGGTTAAATAAAAAAAAAACTAAACCATTTTTAGACAGGTTTTCAATACTGTTTAATGTCATTACTTTGTCGTCTGGTTTTTATAGCAAAATGAGTATCCTGCTAACAAAAACTTGGAGTTTTTTAACAACCCAGCAGAGGGTGCTGGTAGAACAGCATGCTCAGCACTATCTCCACTGAAGCGTTTCTGGTGTGGGAAACTGAGCTAGGGTTAACCCAGGTTAGCTGCATAATTGATTGATACTGGATTTTAAATAGGGCAATTTAATTTGTGTCACATCCCCTTGTTCTTAATGATTACAGTGACAGATTCTGATGATAATTTTAAATTACTACAATGTTCCAAGCAAGCACATTACCCTTTGATGTCTCTAAATGTTATTAAAAAAATCAAACCAAACCAGAAACCAAAACTAGTTTTGGCTTTATAACGGGTCATTGTCTGCATATTTATGGATATTTCAGCTCTCAGAAACTTCAGGAAGAGAAAAATAAAGCTATTGATGAAGCACTTCGACGTCGGGAAGTTGCTGTGAAGAACATAGAGGACACATACGACCAAAAGCTTAAGACAGACCTCTTAAAGTAATTTTTTCTTTTGTTTCTAATAGGACACATGCAGCTTCTTGTGAAAACAGAATAATAAGTTCTATAGGATTTCTTTTGAGAAGTATAACAAAGCAAGAACTTTGAAAGGGTGCATTCATGTTTTTTGTTTTAATCAGCTTAAATCTTAGCTTAGCTTTTTGCTATTAAAACAAAATGTTCTATAAGGTTTAGAAAAAGCTTGCTATAGAAAGTAAGTCTCTTTATTATAGACTATTATGTTGTAGTTTAAATTCTGTGTTGCTATCTGGGAAAGAGATGTGACATTAATTGCATGTTTAGACAGAAGTATTTGAAGCAGTATTAGTGACTTAACCACACTTAACTGATCATTTTAATGCAGAGAAGACATGGGAGGAGATTAGCGTTAAAGAGATATTATAGATTTCTTGGAAAAAGGGTGAAAGGCACACTAGCCCACTGTACAGATAGATTGGCTCTTACCTTAACCCATCCCCATTTTTGGAGAGGGATTCTCTGGTATAGATCACCCTGTTTTATTGATTATTATCTACTTGATCATGGTTTCAAAATATTTGCTTAGAAATGCTCTTTGAAAGTGTAAGACATCATCTGTGACTACTTTTGAGGTGTTGCAGTGGGTATACCCTTCAGGTATTGGTGAAGTCTGTGCTAGAAATGTCCAGGTTTGGCTCTCCAATTCAAGAAAGTCGTGAGGAAAGTGGAGATGGCCTACTAAATGTCTGGCAGGATAGTACCTGGACTGTCAGAGGTGACTTCTGAATTTATATGTCAGGGACTGTAAATTGTGCCTTGGGAGGTTCAACTTGGACATGGGTAAAAAAATTTCCTGGGAGGATAGTGCAGCATTGGCACAGGTCATCCAGGAAGGTGGTGGAATATACATTCTTTGAGGTTTTTAAGACTTTGGTAGGAAGAGCCACAGCTGACCTGCTCTAGAGTTGGTGGGAGTCTTGCTTTTTGGCAGGTGGTTGAATGAGGTGATTGACAGAGCCCTTTCCAACTGTTTCAGTGGGTCTGTAATAACTGATGTCAATAAATAATTACAGTTTAGTCTCAGAAAACTGGAATTTACACAAATGCACATTTGTGCATGTGTGAACACACATACTTTGGGAATCACAGAATCATTAGGGTTGGAAGGGACCTCTGGAGATCATCTAGTCTAATCTCCCTGCCAAGTCAGGGCCACCTAGGGCAGGTTACATAGGAACATGTCCAGGCATGTTTTGAATGTCTCCAGAGAGGGAGACTCCACAATCCCCCTGGGCAACCTGGAATACATAATTCTTTTTACTTCTAGATATCAGCTTGAATTAAAAGAAGAATACATAGCCAGAACCAATAAAGTTACTGAAGATGAGAAAAAAAATAAAGGTAACTATCTCTCTGAGATTAGTAAAGTAGATGTTTTATCTCTAGAGCTTTTACTAATAGGTATCAAAACACTGTTGTTACTAAACAGTCACAGTGTTCAGTAACAGCGGTATAACTGACAGAAAAGCCATCAAAATAGATTTTGAAAACATGTAGCAGGTTCCAGTGATGGGTCAGCAATTCCTTGCTGTTCAGAACGCAGTGGGAACTGTGAGCTGCTGCTTCACATAGAGGCTGCAAAGCATCCCTGCTTTTTCAGTTTCCCATCTCCTTCTGAAGTCCTACTAGCTCATTCATTCTCTAATTGAACTCTTGCACAGTCTGGTACCATACCCTTGAATGGTTGCCAATTTCTACATTTATTGTGCACAAGATGTTTAATTGGAGCTTGAGGAAGAGAGCTGGGACAGATTACATGTTCAGACTTTTAATTTAGGGGCATGTGAAAGAAATGGTATGTCATGTGCATATGAATTTGATTTACTTAATTCTAAAGGAGTATATGTATGCATATGAATATATTCACACGGTATGATTTACTTAATTTTGAAGGAGTGTGTATGACATACAATCATTTTTATGTCTTGAATTAAATTGAATGTTGGGCTTAGCAGCTTAAACACTTTTTGCTGACACAGGTTTTTTACTGTAATGCTCTACTAATTTTAATTCAGCATTTGTAATCCTCCCTGCAGAGAAAGCTTTGCTTTTGCATGAAGAAGCCATTGCTGTTAATTCCAAAAAGGAAGAACTCAAGCAAGCTGTATCACGCACAAAAGAGCTTGAGGTAATTGTAAAGATGAATTTGAAGAAGCTGTATTATTATTAGTGCATTTGAGCTATATTAAAAAAAGAAAAAAAGAAAATGTGAAATAAAAATAATTGTTAAGTAGTACAGCAGTTCATAAGCTTCTAAACTGTTCTTTATCTGCAGCTGGATTTGGAGTCAGTGACGGCCCAGGTTCTGTTGCTAAATAAACAGAATCAGTTGTTGACAGAAAAACTCAAAGAGTTGTCAGACTATCCTTTGCTAAAGGAGGAGAAATTGGAGCTCCAAGTGCAGAATAAACTCCTTAGGCAACAGCTGGATGAGACTCGCAGTGAAAACCAGCATCTTCGAGACAGTCAGTGTGACTAATTTAGTAA